TATTTTATACGCAATGTTTAACTTTATAGGATTTCTTTTCTCACTACTAAAAGGAATCTATAATACATGCGCTATACACACACAAGTAAATAGACAAGCAAGTGTAGCACGCATACTATTTGCAGGATTTTTTGGAATTTTTTCATCATCAATAAACAAAATCCTTCTAGACGCACAAATAAAAGAATATAACACAAAAATAGCGACAAGACAGAACACGTACGACGAAGAACATAATAATATAGAAGTAACGCCTACAGCACCACATTTGCCACCCCTACCACATAACCATCCATTATCATTAGTCTCACAAAATTTCCGAAACTTAGCAATAACACATAACCCAAATTTTAGACCAAACATATCGCAAAGTCCCATACAACACATAATGACACATCATTCACAAGATGAAAATACATATGAACAAATTATAGAACAACCCCATACCACCGCTTTTCAGTCTCAAAATAATAATTTTTTTAGCCCACGATGAGCCGACAACTTGGATCCCTACACCGCTCAAATTCCCACCCAACCAACCTCAACACTCCAATTACAATAATTCCACTTTTTGCTTTCCCACCACCCAATTTTCCAAATAGTAATATAACATCAAGCATGAATTCAGACACTAATTCAGATATTTCAGTTTTATACTCCATTTCACAACTAAATAAACCGATTATAGAAACCCCTGACGAATTTGCAGACTCCGAACCATCTCCATCCAATAATTTTCAAACCAACTCCTCAGTTTTTTCAAAGCCTCCTTTTCGACCAATCCCAACAAATAATCCACTCCCGTCCGTTTCTACTCCCTCTTACGCTTCACAAGTAACCCCAACCTATTCTCCATTTCATTCCGACCGATCATCTAATTCTCCCGACACTCCCCAAATCTCCCAAGAATTTGATAATTTTATAACCCTACAACAACAGCTAATACACCCTAACACCCTCACTATAAATCAAATTTCATCCACAGTAGAATCCTCAAATCCACCTACTCCTACACCCTCTTCAGCTTATACTACATCATTAGCACAATCATCCACATCCACCGAATCATCAAATAGCACTAATAGAGCTTACCACACTTTTAAAAGAAAACTCCCGAACCATCCATTCCCATCCAAACCAGGAACAGCCCGCGAATATATCAACCATCCACATCACACTAACACGAAAGATTTTCTAGCAATCACCTTACCTTCATTCCCACAATATACTTTAAACACACCTAACGACACTAACGACACACGTAGTTTTGTAGATGAACATGTTTTAATGCCTACACTTCATTGGACAACATATTATCATTTTACTAATCCCCTTTGCCTACCATTATCTAATACTCATACCGATATAGAAAGAAATCGAGATATGCTATATCGACTCACCACACCATTAACACACAGACAATTTACTTATATAGGATATAAAAAATCACTAAAAACATACACTGCACCCCGAGCTAACGAATTTACGCTAGAATATTACGATCATAATATCATCCGATCTAACCAAGACCATTTTTTAGATGACGACCGCTTCGCTAACCCACAACTAACAGAAAAATTTTTCATCAAAACACCATATGTATTTACACTCAATATATTTGATCGAAAATTTGATCACATCATCTCTGAAGCACTAACTGACATGCAAGCTTATGAAAGTTTTAAAGAAAAATTTCAATTATTTTCACTAACCTTCCACTTCCTTGCACCACATGAACGCGATTTGCACTGCTCACACGACATTATGTTACGCACTAAACGAACCCACACATATACGTATTATCGCTTCATACAAAATCATTTTGATCTCCACACTCCATCAAGACAACCACACCACCGTTTTCAGTTTCTTAATTCAAAGTACACTTCGCTATTTTTTCTAAATTTCACATATTGCATAAAAGACACTAACCTCCACGGCATCCTCCGCAACTATGACCCAATAACACAGATGTATAAATTTTGTCCCATCACGAAGACCTTTAATGCAGAAGAATCCAGACCCTTCCTTATCCCACATGAATTTATCCAACCTATAGAAATCCCTATATTAGAATTCATCCATAACACTAAGTACAGTCACAATTTATATAATCTCATTCAAAACACACCTTATGAGTTTGCAGTTGACACCGAAGAAGTAAAAACTATTAAAGCACTTCAATTGCTTTCGCCACTGCTTCAAACTAAAAACATCATTCGCATACTAGCAAAATTACTAACAAATTCAGAAATAATACACGACATCTTCCGCCACGGTTTTTTCCCCGACGACTAACAGGTAAGTAAAATTTATACATATTCTTCACTAATAAATTTAAAATAAATACTAACCATTCTTTACTTATGTTTCTTTTAGATTTTTAGTCTTCATACCACGATCATCTGCAAAAAACAAGAAAAACAAAATAAAAACTTGTTAAATTTATTCTAAACTTCATTAATATTCTCCACAAAATAATTTTATAAAATTTATATCAAATGAAGTGAATTAATTTATAAATTGTTTTCCCAAAAGCAGTAAATTTCATAATAATGAAAATTTGTAACTTAACTTTTCCCCAAAACTAGCAGTAAAATTAAAATTCTATGTAGTAAATTGATAAAGTAAAAATGCAGTACTAACCTTTTGATATTTTCATTCACTCGCACAAGAATTCTATCCAAACTCGCACAGCTCGCCCACAAAGAATTGTTTAAATAATGAATTTTAGTTTCAAGTTTTCACACTCAACAACTCTAACATACAATAACAAGTTTCAAACTTTCCTTTAACCCGGTTGGAAAGGAATTATATACTAAACCAAACTAACCAACGCAGCTTACTAAACACCACAAATCATAAAATAACAGCATGACTAAGAAAAGAAAACCAACGGTACCCAAACCGGATTAACCCAGTTTGAAACTGGATAATTTATTCTTTTGAAGACTATTATAAAGTCTAAGAAAGAAATAATAAAACACAAAAAAGTCGAAAGACAAACCCATAACAAAAACAATTTGATTTTTGAAAAAAGGACACAACCAACGGAACATAAGAAAGACCACCATAAGCTCAACATAAAACGTTATCACATAACAGGACCTCTCACAGAAACCGCACGAAATCATACTCCCACTCCTGGCCTAACCCACCAGAGAGGACGTCCTGAGCATGCTCTATAGCCGGCCTAACCCACCGCGGTACATCCACGCTTTGTGACCACACTCCTATTTTTAATAAGAGGTACTCAAGGGTGAGTAACTCTTCAAAATAACCGAACTAAAACAAAAAGCTTTTGTGAAAACAACTAATCAAAATCATAATTAAAACATTGAACTAATAAAAATTTTATAAAATGTAAAACATACTTTGCAGTATATAGATCAGCATACAACAACAAAGACGAACATCCAAAGACAAAGTGATCCCACTACACTCGAAAAAGAATGGCCAACCACAACCAAAATGCCGTCCACAATCACAACTCAAAAGATTTAGAGTACGACTTGACTTCGCAGAAAAGGACTTCATTGAACTAGACCAATGACCACCTCGATGTTCAAGTATACGTACAGATCAGAGTTACAAGGCATCCCCTCCACGCACAATCTCCACGCCATTCCCAGACGCGGCTGAACACAAAACAAGTTCTCTACATAATACAGAAAAACCCGTCATAGTAAACCATTTTGAAATCAGATTGATTTCGTTGGGAAACACAGTCGTTGTCACAAGAAGATACACGAAGAAACGATGTTCGCCCGATACCAACGTTCATCATCCATCCTTTGAATTGCAGAAAGATAATTCTAAAAAACTCTGTAAAACCCGGATGGGTGGAACCTGATCTAAACTATATTTTATGATTGGATAAATTAGATATTTTCCCACTGTAAAATATTTAATATTAACCAATCATGATCCATCTAACTAACAACCCACTTATTTGTAAGTGCTGAAATTACTTGTAATTTCAGCACCAGAGAGATTTGAATTTAACTTAGAAATTAGTTGTCTCTCCGAGAGAACTTCAGCAGCCACAACAAACCAGTATACCCTAGATCTATTGAGCCTAGCAGAGACTAGTTAAACACCCTGAGACTAGTAAGTATAAGAGTAAGATTAGGATCGGTATTAGACTAAGAAGTTGCACGAATCTATCCGGCCGAAAATAAGATAGCGTGACGAGCAGACGGTGTACCCTATCCGAAATTACTCTATGAGTTAACCACCTTGGTCCTAACTCAAAATGTACTGACCATGGATAAGTGGCCACTGATCACTGCTTGAAACAGCCATAGTTATCTCTGCGACCGCAACCCTGGATATCACTTGCCTGTGAGTTTCACTAAAGGCAATTCATTTTTGCAGAATCGTATTGTTTTGCTGTTTGGCATACATTTTTATCGGTAAACCTGATAAGCTTGCAGTTTTTAGGTCAAACTATCAATCAATGAAAAAATTTAATTATATCAAAAGGGCATCAATTGAAACAGAAAACAATGCAACTGATGATTTCTGATGCAAATGATTTTGATTTTTTTTGATCACAAGTCATTTGAAATCGAGAGTCGGTGAAATGGCTAAAAAACGAAGCCCAACATAATCTATGCTAGTTGCACGAGGGCGCGAAGTAACATAAAACCCGCTAGGAAAACTCACCCAACCGTTTGCATAATGGTCCTAATTGGGAGCACAATAACGGTCTTCAACAGAGAGCTGAATAGCTCGCATGCTACGTCTTTCCCCAGAAAATAAACGATTATTTATCATATTGGTTGTTTTAGAAAAATGTTTCTAATTCAGCTCATTTGGACTGGATGTTTCGAATTGGGCTAAAAATTGGACTCATTCAGCACGTTTTTCTGAAAATTATACTCAGTTTTTTTACCCTATATCGAAAAAACAGAGACCAAAATGGGGACGAATTTTGATTCGGGTGGTTGCCGTTGTCTATATCTATTGTTGAAGTCTAGTTATACACTTGAACTTGCCTGCCAGTCTTCGCTCTCTGAGTCGGCACTCAGTCCAGTGGATTGGCTCACTCTCTTCGTGAACAAATACACTTCATCGAACGAATCTGATAACCTAAAAGCCAGTTTGGTATCACAATTTGAATCTAGTCTTACAGTGAAAATCTCGTGAATCGGTGAAAAAAAACTGTACCAAAAATGTAAACGTATAAAACAGAAGCCAAAATGAATCAGTGAAAAAATGTGAACCAAAAGATCCAAATTTAAAAAATCACAGAAATCATAATGTCTATGACAACTAAAAATAAGGCTATAAATTTTGTACAAAAGTCCCATCGTCATGAAAAAAAAGTAAATCAGAGTTCCGAAAAACATTGGGAGGAGGAAAAGGTTTCAAAAAGTTTTGCGGTTTTCCAATATCTGCTAGAATAGAATTGCTTTGAGGCACTTTTGTCAAATTTTCCTGGGCGCGGTTTTTTTCTGTGATACAGTTTTAGAATAGATGTGAAGATAGTGGTGTTCCTTTTGGCTTTTGTAAACTTTCTGGTTGGTATTGTATCGCATTAGCTTCAACTATACGTTTCAGCTAGACGATACAAACTTGCTTCAGAATTTTTTTTTAGCAATTGAGCCCCCATGCTAGTCGATGCACCACCCTAAATTGACTTCCCCTTTACGTACCACTCGTTGGTTCCCCCTCTTGCGCCTGACTCCCTACTATCATCAGACCCACTTCCCCCCTCCTGCTCCTCGCTCCTCCCCACCCTCCAAAACTGGTCACACTCCTGGGGGGTGAAGATGGAGTGGAACATGTATATTGGGGGGTTCAGGGATACCCATTCCACTCGGGTGGGTTGCAAGATCAGAGCAGGGTGGGAGGCATGCAGGAAACAGGGCGGGTAACGTGGTTTGCCTAAAAGTACATATCAGTGTGTGATTCTCTCAGCAGAATTTAGATCAAATAGGTAAACATTGTCATCAATCCAAAGTTTTCGCCATTTAACCATTTAACATTGGCGGATCTGCGGGCGTGGGCCTCGATAAAATTGATTTTCTAGTTGATCGACTTTTTTTAGCTAGATCAAATTGGTTTTTCAAGCTTTTCCAAACCACTAAAAAAACTATAAAATACCTATTTTGATTAAATAATTTGAGCACTTTTTTAAGCACTTTTTGGAAACTTTTGACCAAACAATTTTGTATTTTCGGTGTGCAATCCCCTTTAAAAATATTATATATTAGCGCCTTTAGAAAAAATCTTGGCCCAAAAGTGGATGTCGTACAATATAACCAATGGGGGGACCATTTGGGTCGTCAGAAGGTCTAATCCCCTAGGTTAATTTACATTTTTGAAGACAATTCCAATTCAGTAAAATCGGTCGATTTAAAAAATCAGGGCGGGTTAAGAGATGAAAAAAATACACCCTATGAGACTAGTCTCGCATCCATACGTCAACTATCCATACACATATAGCCAACTGGGGCCATTTTTATGCGCGAAGGACCGGATGCCCAAAATTTCAACCAATCAAAGGTCTTTGAATTTGCTCAAGACTTGATTGTTTTTCACGTTTGTTCTTTCAAACTTTTGAATATTTAACTCTGATAGGCTAAAATAATTTTTGGACAAGCATTCCTTCTGGCACGTGGATATCATAAAGTTTCTCAGATGTTCGCTGATTCCCTAGTCAAAACAATTTTATCGAGCAAATTTCTAGTAAACTTTTTTCGTCTTGGAAAAGTCTTGGCAATGTATGTCTTTCTTGCAAAATAATTTGAGCATTAGAAAAGCCCGAACTAACTTTTGTCTAAAGTTGAGAAGTAACGTTGGTTGCATGTCTGCTGGTATTTGTTCGTGACGTCATCCTTTCCTGTGCAGTATGACTTCCCACTCCCCCCTGAGAAGCACTGCATGGAGGCACATTGGCTTCTTGTGGGGGGTTTCCTTAGAGACAGGGCCAAATTCAAGCAGACACAATTTATATGGAAAAATTCACACGAGAATTTGTAATGCAAACTTTGAAAAAAAATCTTGGGTTTTTTGAAAACTTTGGATTGTTTGGATCATATTTTTTGTTATTGACATAATTATATTTTGAGCAAGGATACTTTCGTTTTTTTTATCATTTGAATATCGGGTCAAAAAGCTGTGATTTTTCGGTCATTGTACCTATTAATCCTCCAAAAAGTCTTAAAAAACAAAGTAAGTATCATCACTTAAATTTATCTGCTTGAGTTTGGCCTTTTCCTCAGAACTGGCTCGACTAGATCTGGAATTGAAAACCCAAGAGAAGGAAACTGCTGGCCCCATTGTGTCACCCGGCAGAAGTCTGCTTTCGTGAAGGCGGCGAGAATAGTAAGTCTGGCTTCGTCTTCCGTCATTGGTCTGGAAAAAAAATGTTTTTTTTTTGTTCCGACTAGCGGTGCAGATGAAAATCATATATATCACATAGTTATCCGGAGATTTGAAAACTTCAGCTGAAAGTGAGATTTTACAAATTCTCTCGATAAAATTATTCTTTTCCATTTAATTTAATTTTGTTTGTCGATAAGACACTACAGTTACGATCAAAAACTTGAGTTTAGCAAAATCAGTTAGCTTTTTTTCTTCTTGATATTATGAGCATCTAAAGAATTGTTTTTCTTTTTTTCAACATGCAAAAATAGTTTTCTAAATTTAGCTTGTTCTATTATGATTTTTGTTCCGACTTTCGAAGAAAACTAAATATATACGCTTGGTGTGGTTTTTTTTATTCAGTCAAATTTTGGCGCTCGAAAGACTAGTTTTTAACGCAGAATTTTTAAACCCCATTGAAGATATTGACTCCTTGAAATCAAATAAAAATAATATTTTACCTCCGATTATTGTTGCAAAATTCTAGGAGTTTGAAAATTACCAATTTGGCCATTCTCTGGACTAAGTTATGCGCGTTTTGAACATTTTATTTATAATGCTGAGAGCGTAACGCAAACTATTTATGCGTGACGAGTTATGCCGCCAACAAAAGGGTTCTAAAGTGAATTGAGGCTAGCTAAGCTAATCGCTCGTATTAAATTTGCTACTTGAATTTTCACTCTTGATCTTTAATTTTGTCCAAAACTGACAGTTTTTCAATACTTTTTTCCAAAAACGAATCGATATGAATTAAGGGGCAGTCGCAACATTCAGGGCTTTGCCCTGATATACTAACAGTAATGCCTTATTTAAAAGTTAACCGAAAATTAACAACATTTGGGACTACATACAGACACCACGGAGATTGTTTTTAGTGGCTCATTACAAAAAACTGTCGACATTAAACAAGATTGCTTGTATCAGGGCGAAAGCCTGAATATTACGAATGCCTTTTTAGGTCCATTGAGCAGTAATAACTTGAAAAAATTAAATGTAGAAAAATAAAAAAAAATAAAATGAAACAAGACTTTTTAAAAACTGATACTGTTTGTGAGAATCATCACCCAACACGCCATTTGATGTACATAAGGATAGATTTTGCTTCTAGGTAACAAATAAATTATGGCAAACAAGCTTCCTTCAACCAAATTGAAACAATTTCTAAGACGAATTAAATCACCGCTTACGCATTAATGGCGCGAAATATATGGCTATCTTTTAACTTCTATAACTCTACCAAAAACTATCACAGGTGAAATATCTTTTTAAATTTAAACTGAGTACAGCAATACTTTTTGAATGATAAAAAAACCGAAAAAATGACTATTTAAATGGTCGAAATTTGTCTGAAGAAAAAAACCACCCCGACCTCAAATAGTCCATTACTTTCTTTACAAAAGTCGGAATTATAGTTGGAACTTGAATCAAAACATGAATCATTCATCTTACAGTTTTTGAAAAAAAGCTCGAATAAGCTCACAAGGATGCAAGGCGGATTTGGCCTTATTGTTTCTGAAGTCAATTTTTTTGTTATTGCTCTAAACTTCCAAATCCTTCTGCTGTCATGAGCAAACTAAAAGTGTGACTGTTTTTAGTTAATTAGAGAAGTCATGAAATAATTGTTTCAAAAAAAATCTAATTACTTTTTGTGACAATAATTTCTTGACTTCTAGGGAATTTAAAATCATCAGAAACCTTGCAAATTTTCTAGCAGAAGATGAATTTTGCTCTGGTGATTTTTAGTTAATTCATGGTCGCCATTATTCATTTTGTAGCTCAAAAAGTTTTGATAGCTCAAATTTCACATTTTTTATTGCTCGTTTTTAAAGCGCTCGCAACAGCCGCATTAAAAAACTTAAAATCTGCAAGATTCCTTGCAATCTTTGTTTTTTGTCTTCAAGATTCTTGCAATTTTCTTAAACAATTTTTACTATAGTCTTCAAGATTCTTGTTAAAATTTTCAAAGATTTTTCAAGATTTGACAAAGATCCCAAAAATTGCTGCACCTAAGAGTTGCGCTAAGTTTTAATCAGCCATCGTTATTTTAGCAAAATAAATGTCGAAATCAAAAATTATGAGTAACTTCAAACACATTTTAAAACTATTTCAAGAAGTTGAAACTTTTGAACTAATTGAAAATCAAACAACATTCGACAAACCTAGCAGCTGAATAATTCTCAATCCTCCCCTGCAAAATATCCCCTGCATCCAAATGGTAAAACTCCTGCAGCCTCAAAATAGACTGAGCAGCCCTCTTAACTTCAATTATTTCAACTTCCACGAGTGAAATCTCACGTGACAACCCGAGCAACTTGGCGACTATCTCCGACAATTGTGGGTTCGGCTCGTCGCTTTCGGCTGACAATCTGAGGATCTCAGCTGATGCTCTGGATAATTTTTGGACTGCTTTCGGCCACTGAGTCGAGAATTTGTGGAGTGTGTAAAACTGATTGAGTGGGTTGCCAATAATGACTTCATTGGAGCGGGCTGATTTAGTTATGATTCGACTAAAAAAGTGATGTATTTCATACAAACAATGGAAAAATTGAGGCTCAAATTTTTGAATAAAAAATAGTTTTTTTTTTACTTTAGTTGACAATCAACCTGCGAAACTATTACAACACCAACAATCAGGGGCGAAGTTAGGTGGTGTGGAGCCTTCTTCTTAGGGACTCGACTTATTGCCGACTTTGAGGGTCCCTCTTTTGGTACTTGAATGATTTGCGAGATCTGAGAAAACCAATTTGGTCAACCTAAAAAAATGTTGACAAAGTTTTCAAAACATTTCCAAAACCAAAATTTGAATCTATGACTTACTTCTTGAGTACAGCTTGGATTTCCGGATATCCTCGAAGTGTATCTTTCACTAATGGGTACTTTTTCTTCAACGAACTAAGTCTCTGAGAAAAATCAACATCCTTCGAAATTAGTTGAAGCAACTCAGAATTTGAGCTATGATAATTGGAGCAGTTGGTTATCACTAAAAGTAGTAAAAGAAAAATAATCAAATTCAGAGAAATTGATTTCATTTCTTAAAAACATAAGAAAGATTGTCTCGCTACTGATATTTATGAATTAGCCAACGTTTTTTGTCGTCGTTAATTGTGTTTTTCAGTTTGTAATTCTGGCGTGTTTTCTGCAAAACTAACTAAGTAAGCCGATAAAAATTCATAAACAATGAATTTCAAAAAAAATAATTAAATCGAATAGTCTAAACTATTGCTGCCTACTTTTTTTAATTTAACATGCATATAATTTGGTTACGTGATTCATTCAAATTATTGGTTTGTTGAACGAAGGCAAAAAAGTGATTGAAAATTTGCTCTGCAACACTCGTGCAAGCTCATTGAAAAATCATTAGCGTTTAAAAAAAATCATATCCATCATAACGGAAAAAATAAACAAGCAAGGAAGCTTTTTGATCATTTTCATCTAAATTTTCAGACCATCACTAAAAAACTTCTCAGTCACATAGCCCTGGGCGAAACATATCGATTGAAAATAAACGGTCCGTCCGACTGACATGTAACCAACCGAAGACGAAATCAAAAAGCGGCGTTAAGCTTAAAGTTTTCTTGACTCGTGATTGGCCTATACTTCTCATATTGTGAAGTTAGTTATTAATCACGACCAGGCGCGGATCTAGGAATTTCTCGAGGGGGGGGGGGGATCAGATTTTCAAACAAATTTTGAAAATTTTGTCGACCTTTTTTTTAGGTCGACCAAATTGATTTTCTGAGGTCTTCCAGATCCCTATAAAGACACTAACTTGACCAAATTATTTTCTGCGACGCAGACAAATTTTTGAAAAAATGCCAAAAAACGGCGTTTTCAGGCACTTTTTTGAAAATAGTGACCAAAAAAAAAGCGTTTTTTTTTGGCGCGCGCTCCCCCCTCAAATTTGGTATATATTGGCGCCAAAGAGGGATATCTCGAAATAGTACAAAGGGGGGACCCTTTGGGTCGGCAGGGGGTCGAATCCCTGAGAAGGAGGCCTTCACCCCCCCCCCCCCCCCCCCCCAAGTCTGCTACTTATCATGACCAAATTCACATAAGTTTACTTGAAAAACTCATTCAGCTAAGGTTGTTTTGCTGTCATTCAAGTTTTTTTTCGAATATTTGTTCAGGAACGAATTCGTGAACCAAAAGAGCAACTAAACTTATACAGTGCTCAATTAAATTATTTGGACGAAATGAACAAAATTTAAACTTTTTAACGCGTTTTTTCTCAAATTGGGTAGACATTAGACAGAAAATTATCAGAAACTAACTTAGGATAAAATTTTACCAGAATTATTATGGCGCAATTTACACCAAAAATGGGTCATTTTGGCTTCTTTTAGTACGATAAAAAAATAACGCTAAGTCTAATGAGTCAACTCATTGGCAAGCTATATTAAAGTGAGCCTGTTATACAACCAAATAAAAGTCTAGAAAGGTCCAAAAATTTGCGCAAAATGTTTAAAATTTGTTTTCAAGCAAAAAATTTGAATTTTATATAGTAAAAGTGACATTTTTAGCTATCAATCAAAAGTATATTCTTTTATAAAAAAAATTTTGGAGGTCATAGTCTTCCGAAATTTTCTTGGGCTGTATCAAGAGCTCATTTTAGCAAAACTTGCTGATCAATTGACTCATTAGATTAAGCGTAAATTTTGGTTGTCTAAGAGAGTCAAAACCCATTTTTGGGGTAAGACTTTGGCCCCAAAATTGGCAAACCAAATTGCATCATAATAAATCTGGTAGAATTCTCAGCAAATTTGGCTCTCATCCTGGTTAGTCTCAACTCAATTTGAGTAAAAAAGCGTTTAAAGTGTCAAGTATTGTTCATTTTTGCGGATAATTAAAACCAGCGCTGTATAAAGAATTTAGTTAACTCACAAAATTTTGAAAAATATTGACCGAGCAGACATCGAAAACTGCTAACACGCACAACGCTTTATTGTACTGTACAAAAATTTGCTAAATAGCTATTGCACTGTTCAAAACTGCTAAAACGCCAAACACTTTATTGCACTGAACAAACAATCATTATTTTGTTTTGATCTTGTTCTTTTCATTTTTCAGGAATAACTTTTGAAAAACTGTTCAACTTTTGATACCTGTTCTGGCTGTTTTAAAATTCCAGAAAACCCCGTTTTCATCACCTTCTGCGGTAGTTGTCACATAATCGACATAATTGACATACTCTTCAGAAAAAGAATGAAAATTAAAAACCACAAACAAGTAAAACATTTTAAATTTTTTTATTCTTTGCACAATACGTTTTTATTTTTTATTTCAGAAAACCTTTTTTGCCAATTTTTTTGGGCACTGGGACCACTTTTTGAAAATTTTTATTGAAGTTTGAATCACGGCTGAAAGAATTTTAATATGATATATCACTCAACCCATTCCAATGATTTTTTGTGGTACCTGATTTTGCGTGAAAAACAAATAATTACACTCGCAAAAATAAAGTTCCTCCTCATTCTTCAAATTGTCGGAAAAACAAATTAGAATTTGAGACCCGTTCCGAATACCGAAAAAAAGTTGAACCTGAAAGACTGAAGTTAATTAAGATTTAAATTCATATAATTGTCAAATAGTGAAGTAGCAAAATACTTGGTGATGAACTGAATAGTAAATAAATTGCACTGTTTTTTTTTATCGATATCGATGAGTCATCAAGCTGGTACTCGGAAAAAACCGAAAAAAAATCGCTCAGAAAAGTTGAGTATGTCAAATAACAGCCGCTGTTACAAGTATTGACGCAACTTGGTATTTTTTTAAATTCAAAAAAATTAAATAATTTAGACATTTCTACCGTGATTTTTAAATTAAAAGCTTAAATTGAATGTTATTTTCAGATAGCAACCGCAATTTTTGATATGTTCTAATGCATAGCATAAATTTTTGCTGAACTGATATTATTAGTTTGATATAAATTGATGAAAATCCATTGCGCTTAAAATGCATAAAACTGCGGAGAAGTCAGAGCTCAGAATAGTCCGTTTTGTTTCTTCAGTTCAATTTTCTTCCAGTGTGGTTTGGTGTTGAACTCTTGTCTAGTCATACCGAACACTTTCGCGAAGTCCCCCTCGTCCAGATACTGTTCTTTCACAGTGGGGTCAATGTCCTCGCTCTCGTTCGAAGCAGGGCTGCGCAGGTAGTCGATACTGAAGCCCTTCTGAAACAATTCGGGGGTCTTTCCGATCTATGTAAGTCGTATATGAACAAAAAAAAAGATTTCTGAGTAGAAAAAAAACACTCGGAGTAGAAAAAATTAGTGGAAAAAAAAAATTTCGGAATCAAAAACCAAAAAAAAGAAATTGAGCTGCAAGAGCGTGAGCTTTTGTAAGATAGCCATAGCCTAGTTAACTTTAAACTAGTTAACCCCCGGTTGAGGCCAATAAATCAGCCCAACTGTTAGATACGTTCATAGGTCAGGGGTTTATTTCTTCCGAGAATTTTGAACCCAACACACAGACTAGCTACCACGAGTTCTATTTTCCACAAAATATCGAATCGCCCGTGAAAAAACTGCTGCAAAAGTCATTGCTTATGCGATAATTATTTAAAACTTATTTAAAACAAAAAGCATGGAGCAAGTTCTTATCTGTCTGGCTTTGTCAAGGAGAACCAATCGATGCTGACCCTTGATTTTAAAAAAACGCATTTTTCGGGTTTGGTTTTTGTTGCCTTTTCTGTATCAAAATACTTGATATATAATTCTAGCCTGCCTACGGTTGAAAAAAAAACTAAAGTATAAAACTCTGTGTTCAGATTCTCTGAACTTAATTCTTTATTTTAATCTTTTAGAGTATAACCATTTACGTTTGAGCTAAAGTATTTTTACTACCGTATTTTTTATTACATTCACCCACACACCCCTAACGCGCCTTGGGATCAAGTTAACATCCTCCCCCTCCCCCTCCCCCTCCCCCTCCTCCCAAATAGACCAAGTTAAGATCCTCCACCCCAGCGCTTAATATAAATTAAATTTGCTAAGCGCTGCATGTAAAATTCTGATTGGCTAAGAAAACCTAACTTAGAACCAAGTTAACATCCTCCCCACATACGGCTTTGGGGGGAGGACGTTAACTTGGTCCGCGCCTTGCACCGAAAAATACTAGCCCCGCACTCTGATTTAATCATAATGGGGGCGATCATTTACTGGTGTTGGGGGGGGGGGGCTATAAAGCCAAAGAACCCATTGTTCCTTCTATCTTTGTGCATAAGTGACCAAACCGTGACTCACCTTGTGTGCCCCATTCATTCCCCCGTCGATGCCGTCGTCTGTCCCTCCCCCGTTGAACATGATCTTCTCCATCTCCTCCCGCAGCTTCTCATCACTTGTCTCCCCATTCAGCTCCGCCCTCATCTGGATGTACTTGGCCGAGTTCAGAAACCGGTCCGCACTCCACCCGTGGAAAAACCCTGCAACACCGCACAGTGTAAGTTATGTCAACTAACAACAATTGCCGTCCCTTGGATCAAGTTAATATCCTCCAACTCAGCGCTTAAATTAAATTAAATTAGCGCTGCATGTAAAATGCTCGATTCTGATTGGCAGAAAATTCCCAACATAGAACCAAGTTAACATCCTCCCCCCTAAACGTGTTTAGGGCGGAGGATGTTAACTTGGTCCCGTCCCTTTTTTCAGCCTTTTAATTTTTTTCTCAAAAATTCTATTATTGAGAGCTTGTTTTAAAATGCCTTTTGATGTTCTGAGCTGCAGTAAACGTGACTTCCTTCTTTGATTGAAAAGATTATCAGATTGTGCTGTCTGGCCGATTTGTTTTAAAAGCTTCCATGCAACCAGGAAGGGCTTCCGCAAAAATAATGGTAGGGGTCCATTATGGCCATAAATAATGGAGGGAAAGGGCAAAAAGTATGGCCATTATGTATGGAACTGCCTTCGATTATGGCCATAATTTGAGGATGACGTAACCCCATTATGTAAAACAAATAATGAGCGGTGGAATACTCATACGCGAAGGACCAAATGCACGAAAATAAAAATCACACTTGGATCGCTTGGCAAAAGCATGACTCCACATCACCTTGAGGCTACTCTTTTCTTAAAAGTCAATAAAGAGCTTTGGGATGCTAAACTCGTTTCAAAATTTTTTTAAAATTGAATAATTTGTTTTGATTTTTCATTCAAAATTATGGAATGAATAAAACACTATAATCGCCATTATTTATTTTTCCAGAGCGATTATGGAAATAATGGGTGGAAAGAAGGACGATTATGGCATAATGTAGGGCAGAAACCCCATTATATGGCCATATATTTTGCAGAACCCCTGCAACCGGGGGCTATTCTCATGCGCGAAGGACCGAGTGGGCGAAAAAACTAGTGAGCGAAAGACCGAAAACAAAATTAGCCGAAAGTCAATTTTTAGAAAAAAGTAATTGTCATTCAATTAAAATGAATTAATTGAAGCAATATTTTACTTCTATCATAAGGAAACCCTTGAAATATAAAATTTGTTCCAAATCGGCGGCGGTCAGTGAAAATTTGAAACTTTTGCATTTTTCTATCGTTTTTATTTTCCACTCATGCAACCGACCCGTTTTCTGCGGATCTAGGACAACAAGCCGACGGGCCTTCAGGCCGAAATTTAAACTTAACATACACCTGAAATCACTATTTTTTATCTGTAAAACGTTGCTTTTCAAAATTTCGGGCAAGGTTTTGACAGTAAATCACTTAAGATTGGCATCCGATAATAATATCAGCCGGTTTTTGAAATGCATAAATTATAAACAAGAAAATTGCCTTCAACCCTGTTTTATTTTTCAACTTTCCTAAACATCATTTAGAGGCTTAAATTTCATGAAAACGCTAATAACTACTGAAGAAAGATCATGAAATTGAGTAATTCTTCAAAAAAGTTTTCAAATTAATCATATTTCATAGCCTGATGAGAAAAGTTTCGGCTTGAAGTCCCTAATTTTACAATTCGGCTCGAAGCCCGGTCGGCTTGATGTCCGGCACCCGTGTTCTGCTTTTCCGTTTAAGAAGGCTAGTTAGAGGACAAAAGCCTGGCTTTTAACATAAAATTCGACTACATTGACGTTTTAGGCCAATCAGAATGCAGTATTTTGACTTTGACATTATAAAAAAAACATTTAGTTTTACCAGCGGTAAAGGTAAATTTAATGACAAACGACTGGCGACCCGGGTCTAGGTCCCAGACTCATGTCCGGAGTTACGCGAGAAAGTTTTGGCATGTCCAGACTTTCGCGACCAAAACTTTGCATTTCCAGACTTTCGCGACCATGATGATCCGCGCGAAAGTTTTTAAAAGTTTAATGGATCTACTTAACAATTTTCACCTTCAAGAATGGGGCAATTGTTTAGTAGATTGATTTTCGACCAATCAGATTGCACTAAAACTCAAGTTTTACATACAACGATCTAGTGCTAATTTACTGCTTTGATTAATAGGGGTGGCAATTCTTTAGTAGATGCCAAAAAGAGTTTAACTTTTTTCTGCTCTCACCTGTGAAGATGACCGGTTCGTGTCCTTGCTTCACCTGGTAGATGGATAGATTTGGGTCTCTCTTGCAGGGGTCTGTCAACACGTACTGTTTCGCAGTCTCCATAGCCCTCCTCCTCTCCTCTGCATTGCTTCTAGTGCCCACCCAGACGAACAGGTCGTACCACGTGTCCAGAATCATGACGTCATCCTCGCACAAGTCTTCCTGCTGGAACCCCATGATCTCCTCAACCCTAAAATGAACACAAAAATATCGTTTTCATTACGAGGCCAAAGTGTGTATTTTGTGATTTTTAGGTGGGCTCCGTAACAAGGCCTATCCAAACCACAGTTTGGCCTCGTAATGTTAAGAAAATGCATTAAAACAAAAATCATATTGAGCGAACAATAAAGTGAATCAAGAGTATGTGATCGTTCGTTGTGCAATTAGAATAAGCATGCGGTAGACGCAATTTAGAACCCCCCACTCCCTCATGTAATCACTCCCCTGACCACTCAAGATATTATGGTCACTTTGGCCACACCCCTTTTATGACACTCAATTTTGGTCGATCGCAGCTTGAACATTTTCAAAGGCATATTCGTCACCGCTGTTTACTCATGAGGAAGCAGGGGTGGATGATAAAAAACGCTATGTTTTTCGTCAAATAATCTTTCTAAAAAGCTCTTTAAATCATAAGGTTTTTTGTCGCTGATGTTTTCAGTATTCCGCAGAACTCAGAAAATCAATGTGCTGTAGCTTAAAAAATTCAACTACTACTCGAAGAATCTGAGATCCGATCTATCATCCGAGAATTCATCCAACCAGCAGTTTATCGCGCCATCTAACCAAACCATCTATCTGTTCTTCATCCAGTCATTCATCCAGCCATCCAACCAGCCATCTATCAACCAGAATTGCGATGAGAATTGCGACACTATACTACACCCCCACTTGCATGCAATCGGGAGTCAAAAAGTAGTTTCTTAAAGTTTCAAGACAACCTATGTATACACCTGGCCTTGACCTAACAAAAAACATCTTATTTCAAAACTTATGCTGAATGCATCTATGCCTTTCGCGGTAACATTGTTTCTAACGGCTTATCTTAATAATTGTTCCATAAGATGCCTAGATTTTGCTGTCCCTGCCTTACACTGCCATGCCCCTCCTTACCCTGCACTGCCTTGCCTTGTCTTACGCTGCCCTGCCTCGCGTTACGCTACCCCGACTTTGTCCTCCCTACTTTTTTGCCTTCAACTGGCCTGTCTTACGCTAGCCCGCCCCTACTTGCCTTGCATTGCCTAGCGCCTCATGGCCCTACGCTGCATTGCCTTACCTTCCGCTGCCCTGACCCTCTTCGCCTTACGCGGCCCAGCTTTTCCTGCCCTGCCTTATGCTGCCCTGCCCCTTCATGTCTTGCGCTGGCTAGTGCTAAAAATTTCTATGATTACCTGTCTAGACATTCGGCTTTGTCCTAAACAAATATCCTGAGTTGAAGTTAATCCAGACTTTGCATTGAAAAAAACTTCTTGTACATTCATGCTTTTCGCTTAAACCTTGTCCATGACGCCTTTTGTTAACTAAAACTTTTCCCCAATAAAAATCGCTAAACCTTGCAACCATAAAGTTTTAGGTGTTGCGCTTAATTAAAAGATAGATGACATTCAATTTTGTAAATCTAATCTACCTTTAAAAATTATTTGGATTCAACGATGTCACTAGCTGTTCTGCTCTTCGCGGAAAACCGCTGTTTTTGGCCCTGTTTAAGATTAATATGCAACTTTCTAAATTTATTCTAATTTGAAACCATTTTGCTCAATGATGGTACGAGCTCTTCAGTTTTTCACTAAAAAGCGCCTTTTGCGCCTGCTAAAATGTCATACATTTTCTAAATTAAAACAAAATAACAACTATTTTGCTTCACGGATAACACGAGCTGTTCAGCTTTTTGCGGAAAACGACTGCTGCGCCCTTGTTGGTTGTGAATAACGTTCAACTTTCTAAAATTGATTTAGTTTTAAATTCTTGCTCAAGGATGGTACGAACTTTTCAACTCTTTAGTGAAAATTGCGGTTGCGCAGTTTGGTTATAATTTCATTAGTTGGGTTTGAAGGGCATTTCAAACACAAGCGGAACCTCTTTAGTTCATCAAAAAGTTCCAAAATAGAGTTAGTTCATTTTTTGGTGTCTCGACTAAATTCCAGTGTCAAAATGTGTAAAACAATCAAGAGGAAAACAGGATGCCTTGAATGATAAACAACAACCAATTATATACCTCAGGCAAAAATCATTTTTCGGCGAAATTAAACGAACAATTTTTTGCCAGAATTGAAAAACTAAATTGACCTGAGAATACTGCTGACAACAGTTCCTCAGACTTTTTGCAGTTTGTTGAAGATTGACAATTGTTGTCATCACCAGCGGATTTAAGGGGGTGTCGACGCTTCCTCCTCAGGAATCCAACCCCCTGCCAACCCAAAGGGTCTCTCCTTTGTACTATTTTGAGATATCCATTTTTGGCTGACTGACCCTAATTTTTTTCCAAAGGCGCCAAAATATACTCATTTTGAGGTGGGAACGAGCGCCGAAAAAACGCAATTTTTTGATCAAATTTTTCCAGTGCCAAAAAAATACCTTTTTTGGCCTGTTTTTTAAAAAAATTTTCTGTCGCACATTTGGGAGAGCTCAGAAAATAATTGTAGTCGACTCAAATTTTAGTCGACCTAAGAGTTTTGAAACTTTTTTGAATATCCCCCCTCGAGAAAATCCTAGACCCGCCCCTGGTTATCCTTAAAGATTGTTTTGATGTTTGCACTATCTCTTCCGAGTCAAACACGTTTTGGTTTTTTAATCCATGTGAATTTGTAAAACGCGGAATTTTTCTGCAAGTGCCACTCATTTCTAAAGACAATCCATAGCGGAATATTGAAGTGGATGGGTTCTGTGGTTGGTTAACCAGCCAGAGTTCTAACCCGAAGGTTAACTATTTAAGGTGAACTAAGCTATGACTATCTTATACAAGAGCTTATGATAGGTGGGCAGCATTACTATCGAAATATCGATTTCTAAAGAAATCATCTTAAAATTTCAGCAAGCTGAGAGAGACAATCATGACAAGAAGTGTCATATCAACACTAGTAGGAGTGCTACTGTTCATCTGCCTCATTTCAAATTACTCCAGCACGAAGACTGCAATTTTCTCTGGGAGAAAGCAGGGGGCAGCGAACAATACCTGCTACCAGTTCTTTAACAGAATTGGCAAGACGTGGGATGCGAAGACGGGTTGCATGTCATTGGAAACAGTTAAAAGCAGAGAGTTCAAGAAACCATCAATTGTGTATCCAAAGACCCGTGGGGAGCTTGAGGTCAATTACAATGCTGTCTTGCCTCGCCCTGCCCCCTTGCCCTGCGTTACCATGCCTTGCCTTGCTTTGCTTTATGCTGCCCCCTTGCATTGCGTTGCCATGCCTTGCCTTGCTTGCGCTACCTCCTTTTCCTGCGTTGCCATGCCTTGCCTTGCCTTGTCCCTTTCATTGCGCTGCCCCCTTCCCTTGCCTTGCTCTGCGCTGCCCTGCTCCTCCTTGCTTTGTGCTTTCCTGCTTTGCCTCACGTTGCCTAATTTGCCTGGCCTTGCCCTGTCCTTCCTTGCCTTGCACTGCCCTATTCTGCGCTCAAACTTTGTACGAAAACCTGTCTAGGCATTTGGTCTTCAGCAAAATGAGCATCTTAGCTTGAAATATATCAGGACTTTTCACAGAAGAAAGTTTCAAGGACATTCATGATTTTCGCATTAACATTGTCCCTAACGCCTTTTGTTAACCATTGTCTACTATAAAAGTTGCCTTAACCTTGCGTCCATAGAGTTTTTGGCGTTGCGTTTAAATAACAGATGGATAGATGACATGCGATTTTTAAAATCCAGTCTACCTTTAAAAGTAATTTTATTTTGATTTAACGATGGCACTGGTTGCTCTGCTTTTTGCGGAAAACCGCTGTTTTTGGCCCCTGGTAAAGATTAACATGCAATTTTCTAAATTTATTCTGATTTGAAAATTTTGCTCAAAAAATGGTACGAGAAATTCAGCTTTGGGCTATAAAGAGGTTTTTGCGCCTTCTAAAAATGTCATGCTAAACTTGAAGAAAATAACAACTAGTTTGCCTCACAGATAATACGAGCTGTTCAGCTATTTGCGAAAAATAACCAGCCAGAGGCCTAACCCGAAAGTAAATTATTTAAGGTTGACTAAGATACGACTATCTTAAACAAGAGTTTACGATTTGGTCAGCATTAATACCAAAAAATCAATTTCTAAGGAAATCATCTTATAATTTCAGCAAGTTGAGAGAAACAAGCATAACAAATTTTTTTTTGAAAATCCCCTCTCGAGCAAATCCTAGTTCCGCCCCCTGGTTGCCATTGAAGGTTGTTTTAATATGTGCACAATCTCTTCCGAATCAAACACGTTTTGGTTTTTTAATCTATGTGAATTTGTAAAAAGCGGAACTTTTCTGCAAGTGACACTCATTTCTAAAGACAATTCATAGCGGAATAATAACGTGGATGGGTTTTTCATGGTTAACCAGCCAGAGGCCTAACCCGAAGGTAAATTATTTAAGGTTAACTAAGATACGACTATCTTATACAAGAGCTTACGATATGGTCAACATGACTTCCGAAGTATCGATTTCTCAGGAAATTATCTTTCAATTTCAGCAAGTTGAGAGAAACAATCATGACAAAAAATGTCCAATCAACACTCGTAGGAGCAGGGGCGGATCTAGGATTTTCTCGAGGGGGGGGGGGGCGGATTTTCAAAAAAATCGAAAATTTTGTCGACCTTTTTTTAAGTCGACTAAATTAATTTTCCGAGCTCTGCGATAGCACCAAAAAGCCCCTGTTTTGGCCAAATTTTCTGCGCCGCAGACATAATTTTGAAAATTCAGGCCGAAAAAGGCGTTGTTATGTACTTTTTGAAAAGTGCGGCCAAAAAAAACGCGTTTTTTCGGCGCGCTCTCCCCCCTCACATTTAGTATAGGTTGGCGCCAAAGGCGCCTTTAGAAAAATTTTAGGGTACGTCACCAGAAATGGATTTGGGTCGACAGGGGATCGAATCTCTGAGGAGGAAAGCGTCCGCCCCCCCCCCCCCCCCCACCCCCTAAATCCGCCCCAGCGTAGGAGTATTGTTTATCTGCCTCATTTCAAATACACTTCAGCACAACTGCACCTTTCCCTGGGAGAAAAGCATAGGG